CGTGATCGATTTCACGAAAGAAACGAGTGAAAAAAGGAGAAAAAGAATTTTTCTTTTGTGCTCGATGCAGATTGTTATGCATAATCATTTTGGATTTTCGTTTCGCATTCTTTTCTCGATTTACAATTGTCTTTTATCGAAAATCAATATTTGGTATATTCGATCTTTAATATCGAAGAATTATGGAAAACTTTGAAAATATATCGTTTGCAAATTTAAGTAGTTAAACTAACAATAAGAATTGGAGAAATTTAGAAAAAGGATTTTTTTCTATTAATTATGAAAATATTTTCGCTGAAAAAATGTAGGTACATATCGTCGTCGCTCAAACGAAATAGTTAGAATATTTTTATTTTTAGTAAAATTTCATTGTATATCACTGATACATACAGTAAAAGCAAAAATAAATGGAGATATTTTTTTGATACAGATGCAAGAAAAGATATCAGGGATTCAATTGTGTTTGTTTCGTTTAATTGAATATTTTAACATAATTTTTCTTGAACTTTAATTTATAATTCAACCGAGAGGACACGGAACGTATTGAAAGTTGATTTAAGAAACCTCTTATATATTCTCTCTTATCACTTATTTAAGAAACAGAATAACAATTTGTATATATTATTAATCATTTCGATTAATAGAACTTTCTTAAGAGTTCTTTCGTCGGAATTATTTTTAAAATTCCATTGTTATTTGTATTTTTCGATTTGGAATAATCTTAATCCCATGTGGATTCATTGTAACACTGCATTATAACTTATAATTATCAGGGCAAAAGTATACATTCACTAATGAAAACAAAAAAATTATTATTATTTTAACACGTTTCTATTTAATAGCAAAGATTTTGAAATGAAAAGTTCAGACCGAGATGTTGATATTATCGTGATTGTTCGTCAAAAATTTATCAAAATTTGTCCACAAAGGATTAATTATTTCGTTACAACTGTTAATCACTGAGCAATTTATTATAATAATAATAGAATTCTAATCGTAGCATTTTCGACAGGAACAATCGCATGTAACTCGAGAACGATAAACTATCAAGTGCACTTAATAGGAATTCAATTATCAACGCTTGTATCGATACATCGTTCTTTTTTTTTCTTTTTCTTTTTTCTTTTTTTTTTTATTGTTAACATTCTGCAACGATTCTTCATTATCTAGCGAGTAAAGTGAAACAGCGGTTCCACCGATTTTACAATAATTTAATTCAAGATTAATATTTCATTACTTGCTCCTGTTTCCATAAGCGCCACTCAGCATCTACTTATTCTACTATATATCTTCGCGTTCGTTCAAACAAATCTCAGTCTCCATAAATTTCGTCGAAGCAATAATATTCTCCTTCTTTATTTCAACTTCAGTAAAATTGAACACGATATTAACGAAGAATGCAAAAGTTTCCAGTCGAATAGACTTTTTTGCACGAAATTTTTTGAACGAAATTTTATTATAAATTAATTATCGGTTTCATAATCTATATACGATTCGTGTTGAAAGTATTCCACTATTTTGAATAGCTCGAGAATGAGTCATGTGATCTCGATGTAATCGTAACCTAATCATTTAAAACAAACATAGTACGTAAAATAGTATATTTAGAAAAGAATAATGAGATTAATTCTTTGAAAGTATTTATTCGATATCAAATATATCTTTTTTTTTTTCAATTTTTTTTCAGAAACAAATATTCTTCACGATCAAAAACTCCTTCATTCATAAAAGTCTTTTAGACTGAATACTTTTGCATATCACTGCGAAAACGAAACAAAGAATCTTTCTTCTACATCATTTTTATCAATCATTTTCCTTAATCCTAATTAATCCTCTTTGACCCAACTCGTATGCTATTTTCACTCACGAAATTTCACGAGGCGACAAGTATAAAGAAGTTATCAACAGAGAATGTTGTTATGTACATATTATCATTGTCAACGTTGCAATTTCCTGTTGAAATTAGTGTTAATCTTTCAAAGGAGCGCGTGGAAAAATCGTCAAAGATCGCGGAGCAGGGTTAAGCGAACACGAAGATTCGAAATTCGCGCCAAAAATACGATACGAGGCACGGGCAAAACGCGCGTTCGTTTGAAAACGTTCGTTTCGATTGGACGCCTCTCTCCGCGGCGTGAAACTGCGTAAAATTCGCCGGAAACGAAGCAGGCGATAACAATTCATCAGGCGGGGTTAATTATGCGGCGAATTCGTGTTTACAGGCCGCCATTACGGCGAATTCATCACGGACGAGCACATATTCGACGATTGATTTAACAGTTCTTGCTCGTTAAAAGTTCGAGGGCATTCCGTGCGCGAATTATAGCAATTCTCTGTGCCCTGGAATCTTGGGAATATCTTAAGAACGATGTAGCACTTAAGAACACAGCAAACTAACGATTAAGTTAGGTTAGGTTAGATCGACTAATAATGGTAATGGTTCCAACATCGAGCTTAACCTAGAAGTGAAGTTTATTTAAGAGGAAATTATTATGGACAAGAAAGGAGAATTGTTCTTTATTTTTTCGAGGGAAAAAAGGTGGGCGTAATGATTTTTCTTACGTGAACAATGATAGTTAAAAATTTGAAATCAATATGTGATACCTAAAAGTAAAGAAATTTATAAAATAAAAGATAATTCTGCTTAAGAAAAGCTTGTTTATAGCTTCAAATTCTAAAATTTGAAATCAAATAGCGATTTCTTCTATTTCGTATAACCTAAAAATTAGCAAAATTACTATGCTATTTTGAATTAATAATTAATAAGATAGTCGGTATAAATACAATTGATAAGATGATTTCAAATTTTCGATTGGTAATATAATACAAATTACTTAGATTCTTATTATACATTGTGCGTATATTGTACATAAATGTAACAAATCAATCCCTCCATTGCAACGAATCTTATCATTCTAAATGAGCTTACTTATATGAACTTTATTTACGTTGCAATTGTTTACACGATTATCTAATTTTCCTCAATTTATGCGCAATAAATCTTCTATGAGATTTTTTCCCCCAATCAGAATTGGATTTGTGATTGCGTTTTATAAAGAATATTTCCTTTATTTTCAATACTTAAATTTTTTTTAATATCTTCTATATGTTTCCTAATTTCTCTTTATTGCTTCCACGAATAATTGCTCTCTTGCAGTAATATTTTTCTACTAGCCGTAGCGGAAGGGTTAAAGCACGTATTTCAGCACGCAACCATTATTCGCGAGAAATCTTTGCCAAGCTTTTTATTGTAGCTCTTTCAAGCAGCGCATTTACTTTAATCGTTATTTAATCTTTTAATCTTAGAATGGCGAGTTAACCCCTTTAATGCTATTCAAAAGTATCTTTATTTTCTTAATTTAATTTTATTTATTATTTATCGTAATATTGTTGCATTTAATTTCTATCGTTGCTTCGGAATTAAGCAGTTTATATCAATGTTTATCTGATTAAAATAAGGAACTGCGATGTTTCTCTGGTAGTCTACGAAAGAATATCTCTTATTAAGTGACAACATGTAATTGGAAAATGGTGGTTTTATAGCATTTAAAAGAAGTTAACTCTCGTACATTCATAACGACACAATTTCCAAAAAATTATTTTTCAATAAAATTTTGTACTCAGATATAGAACCTGAAAATGTAGAAAACATATCTATTTACTATTAATTTCTACAATTTGTTGAACAATGATCAATTAAAATAATTTTGTGATAGAGAAAAATATAAAAGTAAAATCTATCCAACGATATGTGAAGTAAAGTAACGTGTCATCTTTATTTTCTAATTTTCTATTTTCTTCCTTCTTATCAATTACTTCGAGACAAAATGTTTATCGTATATTTTAATACCGGAATTCCAAAGTGTCAGATTCAGATAACAGATTGAAAGTCACATACATAGGAATTGTGTCTGATGAGGTAACTTCTGAGGTTTTAATAGGCCAATCCTTTCACAGTGTGTTGTTATACGAAACACGGAATAGCAAGTAAATATCTCGTCGAGGATGTAGTCTATTATCATCCAAAATATCTATCAAGTTTTCGTAATATTGGTTTGAAAATATTTACAGGATTAAGAGAAAGTATAATACTCTCCATGAAACGATGAAAAGTGAATATCGTTCAGACACTCTTTGATATTTATCATTCCGAAATTTCAAATTTTTGCTTGCTGTGTTGTTAAGTGTTCAATGATTCCTCGTTTTAACAATTCTCATATTATTAAATAATAATCGAAGCGAATTCGTAGTGAAAGTGATTCTAGTCAAACTTTTGACTTTTCAGATAAGAATCTTCCGTTCCAAGGATTTTACAAATGTATAAATTATAAAAAAATAACATTGGACAAATTGATAATTGCTAAAAATATGATTATCATTAATTCTTATCGGATGAATGAAAATTAATTGTTTTCACAAAAACGTCTGTTTTTCTTGTTAAAAGTGAATAGAGCTACTATTTTATTTCATCTCAAATCATTGTTTTCTTAATTATGATTCAACAACAATAGGGAAAACAATACGATATTTTTAATTATTTCCTATTATTTCATTCCTTGAGCTCGAACGAGGATACATCTATCGTTCATTTATCCATCTAGTTCGAAAATGTATAAGCAAAATTATCGAGTTAACATCGATTATACAATTAGAAAAATCACGCGTTCACTACGAATCCTTCAATTATTACTACACCAACTGTTGCAAGACTGGAATTTTCGAATTCCTCTTCGATTTAATCCATAATATCTAAGCGAATTTCATCCGAAAGATTCACTGGCAAAATTCGATGCTCGCTTATTATTAGGAAGCTCTTTCTCCTCGTCTTAACCCTACTTCACCCTAGTTCCCTTTATCGATATTGCAAAAGCTTGTCGAACCACTTTTCGAAGATGAAAACGCCCGCCTGGAAATCTTAATCATCGAAACTCCCTCTCTCGCTTATCCTAAACTTCTTAATCTAAATTGCGTGTCCCGACTTCTCGATCGAAAATCCGCCCTCCAGGAGGAAGAAACGTTTATTGCATCTCTTCGATCACTTGTGAACAACAACTTCCCTTCGATAATTTACAACATATACCGTCGTCTCAAAATTTCTAATAAAATAATCAATAAAACGAAAGATTTTCCACGTCACTTTCCACGAAAAAAAAAAAAATCTCAATTCGAATACAATCCTCAAAACTTTCTCCCTCGTTTCATTATTTTCAAAATTATTCCCCGATACTTTGATCGAACGAAACGATTCTTCGTCGCACAATAATTCAAACAATAACATCACTCTGCACTCATTTCTGGAAAACGATTTATCATATGACACCATCTTCTCTTCTCCAAATCTTATCTACGTTCCAAAGTATCTCCTCTTTCTTCACAACACGTTAAGGAGCAATCGACGATCGAGCGCGGTTCCTCCGCTTCCGGCCGGAAGTCGACGTTAAACCCTGGTGACAGCGATCCCCGGTCTCCCGGGGCCGAATGCCTACCTGGACGGTCTCCACGCTTGATTCCTGTACCTGCAGAGCAACACCTTCTTGAACGCTTGCCTGAACACCTTGTTGAAGATGGTGTAGAAGATGGGGTTCACCATGGAGCTGGCGTAGCCCAGCCAGGTGGCCAGGTCGAAGATCTTGTGGTCGATCTGCCTCTCGCAGTTGGGGCACACGGCCGGGATCAGGTTGAGGACGAAGAAAGGCGCCCACAGGATGACGAACGTGAAGAACACGACCCCCAGCACCTTGGTGGCCTTCTGCTCGAGCCTGATGATCCGCCCGTGACGCGAGCTGTTGCGTGACACCACGCTGCTCGTCCTCGAATGGTGGTGGCTGCGCACCGTCGTTTGGTATCTGTGGGGGCAAGGGGACGACGAGTTGCTGCTCTGCCTTGAGCTGACGCTCGCCGCTCCGTTGTGGGCACGCATGGTCGCCGCGCGGCGGATCGGGGCAGGCCTTGACGCGAGCAGAGAGGTCCTCGTGCTTCCTGCGGAGTAGATTTTTAAAAGAACTGGGCTAGGTTTCTAAAAGGACGATTTCTTCCTCCTTTTCTCATATCGTATAATAACTTAAGGTTTTTATCGATATCATTCGCTCTTGTGTCTAAAGTTAGATTCTCTAGCGCGTCTATCATATTCATTTGAGATTCGATAATTCATATATGTCAGGTATTTCAACAAAGAAGACTTGTTTTCTTGAGAGATCGATCAATCTCTTATTTACATTCACATTTTCTCCTCCAATCCTGGAACAATTTCGATCCTCACGCAAAAATAATCAACAAGCTTGTCAAACACTTCGATATTACATAGAGTTTCCTCTTATGATCGGGAAAAGGATAATACTTTTAACAATTCGATATTACATCCAAATGTCCTGTCTTACTATATTATTAATTGCAATTAATTATTCGTCTCTTGCATTACGAAAAAAGGAAACGTTTGAATTCACATTTTCAATCCCGATAACCTGGATCAACCGTGAAAGAAAAAGCAATTGACAGAAACTGAAAAAAAGCACCTCCTCTTACCCACCTCCCAAACTAGACCCCCTCCTGCACCCCCTCCACGTAACAACGGAATTCAGCTCGTAGCTTCTGCTCCCCTCCATCCTGCCGCTGTTGCTCCTTCCCAGGAAAGCCGCCTCGAGATTCTTACCCGAGATCGGCTTCATCGTATCGCTGGAAACGATCACGATCTCGGTCGACGGTTGGGGCGGCGGCCTCCTCGACGATTCGCCGAAATATGGGCACGTGCACGGTGGGGGGAGGCGATCTCGCCCTCCTGCTTGTCGCTCGACTTCCTCTGCGGCGTTTCCTCGTTCGAGGAGCTCTTCCTGGAGGAACCGCCGCGGCCGAACACCGGCTGCTCGTGGAAGCTGAACGATCGTTTCCTCGGCGAGGATCCCGATTCGCTCCTCTCCAAGTGTGCCTCGTTGAACGTGGACGCGCGTCGCCGTGGGTGCTTCCACGGCGTTGGGGAGCTGAGGTCTTCTTGGATCGAGAGGCTCGTCCTGGAACCGGAAGCGCTGCTGCCGCCGCTCTCTCCGCTCCTGAAATTTTCAACCGACGTGGTTAGAATGGTTCTGGAATGGCTAGGAAGTCTTTACTTTTTTACAATTGGTGAATAGAAGAAGGTGGAATAGCTTGTGGTGGATGAAATGAGGGGGAGAGAGGATTTTGTTTTTTGTTTTTTTTTATTGGAACTTTTGGTGGATATATTTGGATTATTGGAAGAAATGTTTTTTCTTTGGAAAGAAGAATGGTTTTTTCTTAAGAGAGTTTGTAGAATTTATTTTATTCTTGTGTGAGGAATGAAGGTATATATGATGGATGTTGAAAGGTTTGTAATGCGTATATATAGGAAAATTGGGTAAATTTTAAAGGACGAAGTTTTTAAATGATTCATTTATGAAAATTTAATGAATTAATATCATTTATCAGAATTCCTCGTTTTTTCGTACCCAAGGATTTACCGTGTTCCTGTGCTGAAAGATGTGCTATTTAATCATCAAAGTTTACAATTTATGTGCGATGGCGGCCCATCATATTTTCTTGTCGGGTTCTCAAGAAATATGATCCGTAGAAAGTAGATAGAATTTATACTTCACGAATTTATTAGTGATTTTGAAGTGCAATCTTGCAACTTTCATTGCAACTTCTATTACAACGAGATTTATACAGTATTAATAATTACACCAAAATATAATATTTCATACACGAATAATTCACCTATCTTAAATTTAAATCTTTTATCTTAATTTAAAATTCAAATCCATGAACCAATAATTTCGTAACCATCTCTCAAACCACTTATCAATGATTATCCGGTACATTAAAAACTCTCTCTTCAATTATCAATCTCCATTCCACCCTTTAATCGTATAATAATCGAATTTTTTCTTCTTTTTATTATCTCTTACCGATAAAATCATACCAAATTCTCCGTTGAATCAACAATCGGTAAATCTTCAAAATTTTATATCATAGTCGACCAACGTTAATACAAAAATTACAGCAGAAAGTTTTAAATCCTTCCACACACTCCTCCCTCATTTTATCCAAAACAAAAAATATAAAGTTCGTAGTGGTGGAAACAATTCTTCTCTACCGGAAGGCAGCATTTTTAGATCGACTTTCTCATTTCTCCACACTCTTTATCCCCCTATGTTGCTACAGAAAATAGTAATGGAACGGTCTGATTGAAAAAAGAAGGGAAAAAAAAATACGAAGGGACGACGTGCACCCTCTGGACGAAAAAAGGTCGATGGATGCCGCGTGGTCGCTATAAATCCGACACATATGAAACGCAGCTGCACTTTTGACGCGTTCTATCCATTATTGGGGATCGGCCAGCCATTATTACATATCGCGGCTTTCCGTCCACGGCCAAAAGCAGTCGATGAAGTAACGTGATTCGTGACCTTCGAGTCAAGCTTAAAACACGGCGAAATTAAAGGTGAAAGATTCTGAGATCGATCTGAAAATTTGCTCGATTGTTAATCATACAAAAATATTTAGCTCGAGTGGAATGAAGATTAGCAATTGAGCTGCCAGATATTTCCAGTGGTGTAATTTAGAAACGATCACGTTTCAAATTTAAAAAAAGAATTAAAAAAAACTCTGTAATTCTTCGCATTAAGTTGAGCCTAATTATAAGGGATATTCAGAATATCTAGTTTCCCCCATCTCTGACAAATATAAATTCAAAAGGGAAAATTGGCGAAAAAAGGGGGAATTTATTATTCGATATAACCCTTTTCCTATATCCCTCGCTAAGTTATTTAATAATGCTGCCACGAAATACTGTACAATACTATCATCGAAGATTCTTCACCACGCGGCTTTTCATTTCCTCGGCAGGTTCATTATTGCACGAATTCTTCGGATAACTTCACCGGTGTTTTTTAAAATTCATAGAAAACTTCCGACCATGTCCCATACAACTTCATAATAGCTTTAACATTTCTTTTCAAAGGGGCGATGGACAAAAGACGCGCCCGTGAACAGCGGGACAAAGGAATGTCGAGATTTTTGAAGTTGGAAAATGTTCCAATGATTTTTATAAAAACTAAAAATTCGTAAAAATGTATATGCTCGTGTAATGAGTAGAGAAACATTTGTAGAAAGTGTAAGGAATCTGAAGAAATTGTAAAAATCTTTGACAATTATTCCCTCCTTTTGAATTTTGAATTTACACATACGATAAAAATCGAAATTAGATTTATTTCGTTTATTTCGTGTATATTTCGTTCACCAATTCGTAAATTATGTTAACTTTGACAATTCATTATCTTGCTATGGTTCTCTCTTTAATCATTAGCCATAAATTGCATTCTCTATTATAGTTTCCATTCTCGCCACTAGAGGGGCACTTTAACCACGATTCTCGCATGTATTTATCCACTCACAACATTCATAACGAATTAGACACTAATCCTAAATTTTGTCTTTAAAATTAAGAATTTTTCAAGAGATTAAAATTGATCATTCGAGTGAAAGAATTACCATAGATCTCCGATCTCAAGTCTTATTATCGTTATTAAAAGAAATCTTTTTAATAAATTCTGACTTGTGAAATTTCACCAATATAATTATATTTTGATTGTGCAAAAAGGGCCGAGTAACACTTATGAAAAAAAAAAAAAAAAAGGATACACGTGGAAATGGTGGAAAAACATTGTTGTGAGGGAATTTCAGTTTCTCGATAGAACGATGCCGAAATACTTTCGAAATTGAAACTCGAATAGGATATTGTTGCCGAAATCGATTGTCGGCTGAGTAATCGTTGACCAAGGTCTTCCCATTCGGTCGACCGATGCGGTTGATTGAAGATGCCTCGAGTGGCTGCGGTAAAATCAAAAACGCGAACGTATCCGTTCCATCGACACTTCACATTTTTCCTCGTTCATGAATCACGTTTCAGTACCAGATATTCGTCCATTTTCCAAAGGAAAATGGCCTCGATGAGTCAAGAAGAGATTGAAAGAATTTTAGAAGCTTGGAACAGAGCTCTTGAAGATTCGGTTGAAGGCTCGATTCAGATTCGAAACAGTGAAAATATAATGGAAGTCACTTCAATTTCCATTTCAAATTCACTTTCCTTTCTTTTTTTCCTTTTGTATTTATTATAACTTGAAATGTAATTTGACACTTTTTAAAATTCCAATTTCGATATTATACACTGCTTAAATAAGTGCTTAATTTATTATTTTTTTCTTTCATTCAAAATGCAAACAATTATAATTAAACAATCTTTTTAATTAAAAAGACAAGAATTGAGTTTTGAAAAAACCACAAATAAATGGCTAATACCACGAATTTAGAAAGACTAATTTCTAATTGAAAGAAATAGAAGAGAGAATTGAAATAAAGGGAATAAAAATCCTTCCATCTAAAATTATCGTTTGGAAAGGACATTATTTACGGGATAACCCAATATATATTGCGGTTCCCTTAGCGAATCGCACTTAGCTCGTAGCAAAGTGCAAAACGTAGGGGCGGCCACTTAAGTAAACTGCTCTTACCTGGCCCTCTCTCTAATAAAGGAATGCACTTAGCCGTATCCACAAAGGATTCGCGCTTTCCTCGTCACTTTGAAACCCTCTTTGAACGCGATCCAAGTTCAGAAGAACTTGGTCGAGTCTGGTAATTGTCCTGGAAACGATCGTCGTCTTTTTCCACCCATCCGGAAACCTTTCTAACCTTTCCAGAATCGAGAAGAGGAGAGAGAAAAGGAGTCGTCCACTTGTCCATGTCGAAACAACGATTCAATTAACGCGGATGGAACGGGCATTCTTTGTTTCCTGTCGTTTGACACGATCCCTGTCTTTCACGACACCTGTTCGATCGTTGTGAGAAACTGAGATTGGCGTTCTTTCTTCGTTTCATCCATTTTTGTGATTAATTTGGAGAATATTTTTTTGAGAAACGTTCGAGGAAGAATTGCAATTGATTTTTGGGATTCAATGTTGATTTGAATTTGGACGATGCAGAGAATATCTTTTGAATTGTGTGATTATTTATCGATCAAATACTTTTATTTTTGTGGATCTAAAGAGACTCTATCGCGATATCTTTTTATCAGATTCACGAATTATATTTAAATGATTTATCGTTGTATTTCGATAGATTGTAATTTAATGCACGTGTATATAATTTTCTTTTTTTTTTTATGTTTGACCTTTATACACGGATTTTGTTCAACTGTATAATAATTTTAACAAAAGTTTCGATCTTCCATAAAATTTCATGAATATTAACATGTACTTTCCATTATAATTTGCATATGGATTTCACTCAACAATTTGAAATCGATTACGTTTTATCTAAAAATACCAAACGATTCCTTTTTTCGATCGAACTCGATTTATCCATTGTTTTCATCTTATTTTATCGAACAGTACCATCCCTTTTCTCCACCGCGATTTTCAGTCTATCCTCCTTTATTATTGCTGAAACGTCAGGGGAGGGTGTTGTTTTCCGCGAACTGACTTTTTCTCTCCGCAAAAAAGAAAAGGGGGAAAAAAGGAAGAGGAAAAGGGTGGTCCCGGTTGAAAGGACTGACACGATCCTCTTTCCAGCGAGGTATACTATAAAGATAACAAGAGGTTCTTTCACTTGACGTAACATCGCGTGTGAGATAAAGTTCTTATCATTCGTTTTGCGTCAGAAAGTCGTCAGCATCGACTGGAATTCGAATAATTGGATATTATTAGCGGCTCTGTAGATGCAGATTTATTTCGTCGTCACTTACAAGCCATCAGTTTTTTTTGGAAGAAAATAAAAAAATGTCAAATTTTGCATATTTCTGAAATATTTTCAATTTTGAAGAGCAATGATTAAATTCCTTTTTCAATCTTCTCGATAAAAATTCCATCATCATCGTGTCAAATTTCGTCAATATTTCACCACCAAAATCCCTTCGATCGATGGTAATTAGTGCACCCTAATTTCCGATGCTAGGCCAAGTTTCGCATATTTCAACCGAATGTGACTCCAAGTATTAGGCGAACTGTCTCGCGGCCCATACTTCATCGAACTCTGCATACCAGAAACGCTTGAGGGGGCGAGAAGTTGTGATATTATCGGGGGGATACAGCCACTGGAGGAGGGGTGAATGTGGCTGCATCGGCATGCGACGTCGCTACCACGAGTCTACGTCATCCTTGATCGACAGTTTCGAGAATGGTGAAAGGATCGAGATTCAATCGTGATTCTTACGAGGTATTAGCCTCATCTTGCGTGGTTTATCGTTGAGAGTATTTATATAATCATTGCGTTCCGTTGTTATTATCTTTGTTGATATTGTGGTATTAGATTAGGTAAGAATTTTCGTAATGTATTACACATCGTGATCGATAGAGGAAAGAAGAATAAATAAAAAGAAAATTCTTTGAAGTTTCTCGTGACGAGTAAAATTTGAATTTTTAATAATAATATTGAATTATCAATTTTTTGAAAAATTTGCTTAAGAATTGTTTTCGTTGATTTTTATTTTGAATGTTTGTTTTCGCGTTGGAGATGGAATAATAAAAGAAATATTATAATATAGAATAAAAAATATTTAAAAATAAGTCAGAATTTTTGTATAATTTTAACAATTAATTTTTGAATATCTTCAAAGAAATTTTATTAAATAATAATCATACATTTTTTATTTCTTCGTTCAATCATAATAAATATCTCTTGATTTCCTTCTATCTTGAATTCGTTAAGCTTCTTCATTGTTTATTTTGTTATTGTTCCTTGGAACGAAGCTCGAGTTTAAGTACCTTCTTTCTTTTTAGTTGTTCGATTCTTCGCATGGTAATTGGTATATTCTGAACTGAAACTTTTGACGTTTCGAATGTTAAACATTTGATTACTAGTTCGAAGAAAATTTAACTTTTAAAAATAAATTAGCTTCTCTTCTCCCTAACTTGATAATTAGTAAAAGTTTTCGATATTTCAAATCAAAATTGACAAAATATTGTACAATACTTTTCACTTTCAACTGTATTGGAACAGATAGAATTAAGTTTTTTTGAAGTAATTTATCATTAAATTGTGTAATTGAAAAAATTTCTCTGATTTTCGTTATCCAGTTGAAAGTGAATATTGATTATCGATCGATGCAACGATTATTTTTCATTTATTTAATTGTTCTACCTTTTTCTTTTATATGCATTTTTATTCCTTAACCCGTTAATCGGATTCAAATCTTTATTCAAAATCCTCGACAATTATGAAAAATTAATCAAATTATAACCATATTGATGCGATTCAAAATTTCTAAAACCAAAAACTCTTCGATCCAAATTAATTTCCATCGAACCTCGAGTATCTTTGATTAATCGAGAAATCTTCGACGAATCGACACACAGTTCAATTTTCAAAAAGATATAAGAGGCGAAAAAGCACGAAAATATATTCTCTCGTGTTTCCTCCAAAATCGTGGAGAAAGATATTCACGAATCGCGGATTCCTCGCGCGGAAGATATTTTCCGAGTGGATGCAGTTCACCATGGGTGACAGTTTGTTTCGAAACTGGGATCGACAGTCAAGCGTCTTATATTTCATCTTCGAGTGAGGGATGTTCAATTTGCTGGAACGATCGAGACGAGGTAGGAATTGTCGTTTGGAATTTTATTTCACACGTGTCTCGTATTTGAGTGTCGATGACGAGGAGGTTAAATCGCGTTTCATGTTTGGTTTTTTTTTTTTTTTTGTTATATTCGAAGAGAATGATTTGATCGCATGTGATTTTCCCCCCTTTCAATCAAATTTATTGTTTTCCTCGTTTTGAAAAATCCTGAAGAGCGGATTCAGATTTCAAATTTTTCAAATGAAACTATTCTGTGATTATTGAATGTTTGTTAATTTTATTTTATTTTATTTATTTTTTTTTTTATGGCAGATGTAACTTCGTTCGATAAGAAACGCGTATCGTTGAGTAAATTTCTACGTTCCACGTGTATATTTGTAGTAAACAATGGTATTGAACACAAATATGAGTGGGTGATTCAACTGTAGCTCAATTTCAATATTTAAATGTCTATAGAACGCAAACAAGCAAATATTGGCCACTGGTGAAAAATATCCAAACACTTGCCTGCTCTCGATTCAATTTAATTTACTTATATAAAATTATATAATAAAACGATCGCTTCTTACGATCACTATTTCTCCCAACAACTATAATTTCTACTACATTCCTATAACTTTTAACTTATAAAATTTCACCATTTTATCTATCTATGTAACATCAAAGAATGAACATCATATCCCGACCAATCTGACCAATCCTGAATAAATATAAACACATAACTCAATATCCAAATTTCACAAATTTTCACAAACGCGAAATTGCGAAAGACAGAAGTGAATGAGTTGCATCTTGTATCTTTCCTCGCATCTCTCTGAAAAAAAAAAACCTACAAAAAAAGAGCAACCTCGTCACTGAAAATATCCACTCTTACCCGTGACGAAAGCTGCACCTGTGCGATGCTGACTGTTGCTGATGCTGCTGGATCGAGTGTTGGGGCGTGGACCTCGGCGTGGCCATAGGGCTTCCAGGGCTGGTGATGCCCTCCAGGCCCCTCGACAACTTGAGCATCTCAGCGCCGAAGGCGTGAAGGGCGAACATGGCCGAGGGCGGCGGCTCGCTCTCCGGAAGCCAGAGTTCGTGGGTGTCGAGCGTCGTCAGCTCGGTGTCTGTCGACGTGCCGGAAGTGTGCTGCGGCGTGCCGCCGCTTCCGGCTGGGCTTTTGCTCAACAGGAACCGCTTCCACGTACCTTTTCTGTCCAGGCCTGAGAGAAAATTAAATTAATCGAGATAATTCTTCTTTTAAGCACGGTTCAACACTATGCCTTCTGTCTACGCTTTTAGTGATTCTAAAGAGTTGAATCTGGATTGAAGCAAGGATAATGAGATCGGTGAAAGATTCTTTTTTGTGGTTGCAGTTTTTTGATGAGCAAGATGAATATGTGGATTAAATGTGGTTTATATATTGTGATTCTGGGAGTGTGATTGGAACTTTGAAAGAAATTTGAAGAAGTTATGAGGGTGATAGTATTTGATGAAGAATTGGATTTAAAAATATACGCAGGTTTTAGCGAGTGATTTATGGAAGAAAGTGTTCGAATTGATACGCAAAAAGTACTAATGAAACTGTAAAATGTACAGCTTCCAGTATTTCTGGAATTCGCTGTTTAAGAGTTGTTCGATGTGGAAGCATCAAACGGGATGAAATTTAATCTGAAACTCGTTTAAATAACCGAGCAAACTTCGATAATTCTACTTCGAAATCCTTTAATTTCTCGTCGTAGTTTATCCAATTCCCCGATTGAAAAATATTGAAACGCAAATCAATACGAATTTAAAAATCATCATAAATTACATTCATTAACAAACTATATAAACATTGTTAATTAAAATTTATCAAAATTAATCAAAATTTATCGTTCCTCATACATCTATCTAGATCTACAAAAGAAAAAGAATGCAACTTCTTCTATTATTCGTCGCGATATAGAATCGAACGTGTCACTGAAGAAATATTATATTTTCGGATACAAGTTTGCATAAAATCGAGGTATACTGAAAAATGTCGGATAGTATTATCGAGATATTTACATTGGAAATTGGATTTTTATTCCTGTTATAGGAACTAGATTCACTTATTGGAAATGGACAATTTTATTTTACATACATGTATAAAAAGATAACAAATGAATTTCCCATTCTTATGTATTTTTAATTGTAATTTTTCATCTTCTTGTAATTTTCTTATTACTCGCAACAAGCTTCTCCACTATTTACTCTACTCGATTCATTCCTTTCAATCGTTCTTTCAACGTCTCACCTTCATTCACCTATTCCAAAAATGAAAAGAAACGAAAGACTCGAGTGTTTCTCTGATTTCGCTTGATTTATATCCCTACACCGCCTTCTCCCTCGTGTCTGTATCGATTAATTTCGCCCAACGATTATTCGGAAGCGTCCTTTTTACCATACCGTGCCGACTTTTGCATAATGGGCCACGATTTGCATGAAATTTCTTATCGTCCATCGTTGGATGCAAAAGGAAGTGATAAGAAGTGACACGCGCCCGATGGACAAAGAAAAATGTCGGCCAGCAACAATCCTGTCGTACAGAAGAACACGAATAGCCGGATCAAAACTTGATTTGTGATCCAAGATGAGTAACTGCACGATCGAAAGTTTCGAATTCTGACTCTCGAAATTGACGAACGAATTTTTTCGATCCAAAAAATTGCAGAATGCTGAATATTCATTGACACGATCAGAAATAAGTATCCAAAAGTATTGGACACTTATGGAATAATGAGACAACTAGTGTTACAAGATAATTGCACGATCGAAAGTTTCGAATTCTAACTCTCGAAATGATTGATTGACGAACGAACTTTTTCGATCCAAAAAATTGCAGAATGCTGAATATTCATTGACACGATCAGAAATAAGTATTCAAAAGTATTGGATACTTATGGAATAATGGAACACCTAGTATTACATTTTGTCAGATGTGGATATATCGTCCGTTTCAACTGGTGAAATGTGTGTCAAGAGAAATCTTATAATTGGAGAGATAGACCACCCAACATTAGATCGTCTCAATTGATTATCTAATATTGTACACACTGCGCCAAGTACTCGATGCCACTTGGGAATATCACGTGTTGGTGGTTCAAAATCCACTTTCAATTGTAAGTTTCTTGATGACCATCGATTGATGCTAGTTAATAACAGTAACAATAATAACAATCGTGAAATTTTATGCAATGATGCTATTATATTCGATGGATCGATTAAGATCGTTTTCAACTCTCGTGGATGATTATTTCTATTTCGAAGCGAAGCAACATGGATTAATTTCACTTAAACTTGTCATTAAGAAAAAGGATACTTGAGATAATGAGAACAGTAGTAAAATTTCGTCAAATTATTAAATTTGGTTAAAATTTTCATTTCATCAGAAGAGATTAATATCCTTCGTTTTTAAATGTGACTAAAATGATGTGTTTTAAAATGTGATTATATTAAAACCGTTAAAAACTTGATCAAAATTAAACGTTTTCTTTAAAGAGTGTCACTTCTGTATTTAAAGAAGTTCCTAATTAAGACACGATCCACTTAAGGAGTTAATTATTAATAAGCATTATATCACGTTTATATTAGCAAAGATTAAATTCGCCTTTATTAAGTTTTAGCTCCGTGTCTAACGTAATTTCTGATTAAAAAGCAGCTAGAGGTTACTGGGTTAACCTAATAGAAAAATGCTTCATGACACTTCTTCGTTACCACGTTTATAAAGATAAAAAGTGAATCACAAAAATGTTATTAATTAATCGTCACGTTAAAACTAAATAATTAAATTTAATTCCCTTTTATTGTTACTCACTATCACTATTGAAATGAAAATTAAAATTCTTATTTCGTTTCAGAAATTTTTCTATTTTTACCCTCTGCCACGATTTCTTAAAACATTTTCGACGATCGAATATTCGATATTTCGAGAGGGAGAGGTATATCTCTTCTCTCTTCGAATCGAAATACAGTATTCATTTTCTTCGAATATACCAATGTCATCCTCTACATATTTCAAACCAGTTCTGTAATTTATATCATCCGATATAACCGCCAACACAGGATTTCGAGAGTTTCTCCAGTCCGTGCAATGTCTGGAAGCACGGATTGACAGTTAATTTCCTTCTTTCGATTTTAGAAAACAGTATACGCATTTTTAAAAACTAGTCCATTGTCGTGGAAATATCGCGAGACGAAATTTAGATTATTTTATGAAGAAAAATATCAACATTATCATCACTAAACGAAATTTTATTAATTTTGTTCGTGAACGAGGAATTAATGAGTTGATTGGTCGGATTCTAAATCCAACAGTTTCTTTATCAATTTTTCGTAAATAAATAATATTTTATCAGGTTACTTATCGACAATTTCGAGGGTAAAAAATTGGGTAATTAATCTTCCTTTACAAAATTAATTAAGATTCTCATTATCCTGTTCATTAGTTGGATTTCAAGGTAGACATCTTTGATCAATTATGGTTCCGAACAAAATATTGAAATTCGTCGTTTAAATTTCAAATTGAAGTAAACATCTATGATTAATTACGTAATATATTTGTTTTTGAAAAATTTCTACGATCATAGAGGGTTAACCAATTCCGAAAATCTTCTCGCCGAAATTAGAGAATTCAGCCGGAGGAATCTGGATCAAGTCTGATTTCTTAAACCGTTGCCTTTTGTTTTACCGACACTTTTGGCGCATGTTGCGAAACACGAACGATCAATTTGCAAGTGAAATCGTTCGATGCAAATGTACGAGTCGAAGGAGGCGTCGGTTTGCGCCCCAATTTATGCCCCGCTTTAGGCTCACGAAACTTTTTCGGTATTCGTTGCAATTTGTCAAACTTTGTGTCGAACAATAGAAGGAGTATCGTTACTTGCAAGAATTGCGATTTTTTCCTTTTCTTCTCCTGTTTGTCGAACGAATTTACTTAATTCTCTTTTATAATTTTAATACAGGATAGACTTTTATTTTTGTAAAAGTTAATTGTCGTCAACTTGATAAGGTTGATTAAAAAATTATTATTAGTATTGATTTATTAATATAACTAAATTGATAATAAACAGAAATTTGAATTATTTTCTATTTATATAAAATTAAATTAAATCTAATAATTCCACCTACTATTTACATTATAACATATACTTTACATCTCGAGAATTGATAATTTAACATTCTTAAAGAAACAGAAATTTCGTAGATATTGTTTGAAAAAGAAAAAAAAACTTTAGCCAGGATAATAAATCATGCGAAATAATAATTGGAATAAAAATTTAAATACGACGACACCAAGATCTCGATTCGAAGGATAAGGAAAAGGATTTAATTTCTTTCCTCGAGGAGGCTGCACCCTCGAATAAAGAGGGCAGGCCGATCTATAGAATTTCTTAATCGCAATCTCCGCCGAATATCTGGCCTTGGATTACAACGAAATTCCACGTAATACTCTCTCCTCGTTCAACCTCCTTGTTCGACACTGTCGGCTACTCGCGTTTACGTTCGATTCTCTCTTTCGGTTTTGATTAAAAATCGACCCTCTGCCACCGAAAATGTCGTTATTCGACTTTGATCCGACGACCAGACAAAATCGGATAGGATTTTATCGTCTTCCATCCCCTGTTTCATTTTCTTCTTCTTTTTCTTCTCTTCTTGTTTCCTCTCTTTTATTTTATGAGTTGAATTTGAAAAAATATTTTTGACTATTATTTTTTTTTTTTTTTTGGTTATTATTAATTAAAAATCAATCGAAATACCTTTGAATACGAAAAATTGCCAAGTAATTTAAACTCGATGAAAAAAATATATTAAAAATTAGGAAAATCTTGAATCGCTATCACTTCGAAGATATTGACTTTTCATCAATGAATGAATGATCATTAGAAACGCGAAAGCTTAAAAATGCATTTTTATTTATCTCGATACGATTTTCGATCTTCGAGAAAGAAATGAGAATAAAGAAATATGCGAAAGAAAGGATAATTTTTATCGTTTACTATTTTCATTCTTGTTAGTCTTATTCAAACTTTTCTCGTTTCATTGATCTATCCTAAACTCCAGACAAATGAGATTCTTGAAAGATCTTAATACGCATTTTTCGCAAGAAGGAAAAAAAATACTTCAATGGTTTCCACCATCTTTCGAGTGTGATTTAATAAATAATTTTCAGTCGAGTTATATTGTTTTATAATTAATTGGAAAATATCTACGAAGGAATTCAATTAATCCATTTATATCACGAGGATAATAATTCTTTTTTTTTTTTTTATTTTATGACTTTGAAATTGTATTGCAATTTTGTCTCGAGTTATTGGGGAATATCGATGAGAGAATTTGCGTTGAATTGATGAGACAATCAATTTGTATTATAATTTTATTTCGAAACGATCGATATCATTGGGTTACAGAAGATCGAAATAGTTTTCATTCGAATCGAGTTAGATGGTTCGATTTTGATTTGCATTTAATTGAAGTATATATAAGATAATTTAAGTAAATCAATTTCCTATCAAAATCATTGCTAAAATCGAAATTAGAAAATTTGAATAAATCAATCTCTATTCGTGATATTAAACGTCGATATCATTTGGAATTATGGAATTAAGTTACATTCATTTAAAAAAAAAAATCTTATTATTTTTGTACTTTTTGTCGATAACATATATACGTTCTTCTGTGCTCATTTTACAAGATTTTCTGTCGTCCATCGAGGAAAACAATTCGTGCTCTAAAAAATAGCACGATAACTCGCCTCGTTACGTTGAAATCCAGAAAAATGGCGTCTAAAAAACTGTCTCTTGGAAGTGCAAGTTACCAAGCGTGACATTTCATTCTTTCACAAAAAAAGAAAAAACTTTTCGTTTGAACAGGGATAACTCTTGCATCTAAACAAAGAAAATGTTAATAATGATTAAACGGACGAGCAAGAAGATAAAATTCTTCTATTGCTTCAATTAAATAAAATTGTGGAAAAGAAAGGAAGGAAGGAGAATTTTCAACGAATTTGTACTATTGCACGATTTTCATAAAACTCGTTGCAATATCCTCCTAGTTATTACTTCGTTGCTTGTTGCTTGGATTATTTCGAACGATTTTTTTCCATTTGTTTTTACGCTCTGTGCTCTCTCTTTCATCATTGAGCACAAATATAATTTACTTTGTATCGTTTTTGTAAAAATAAGATACATAGTCTTTAAATTCGATACGTTAATTTTCTTTCTTCTTTTCTTTTTCTCTCTCGTGAAATTCGCAATTAATAAATATAAATTCATTCATTTTCATTAAGAGATACAATAACTTTCTTATTTTTTTTACGAAAAATGTTAATAGAAATAATTCTGAATGAGAAATTATGACAAATCATATGTGGCCAGTCTCAATGGAAAAGCATCCTGAATTTATTACACCGATGATAATTTAATAATAAAGTATATATTTGGAATAATATTGATCGAATTCTGTTGGGAATTATTTCGAAACAGTAGATGCTTTAAAATTATTTATTTTTTTTTATGACAAATTAAAATTTATTAAAATTTTTTATCAAAGATAATAATTTTGTTAGTCTTTTTAAATTACTTTGTCTAAATAATTCCAAATAAAAATTTATACAAAAAATTCTTACATTTAATAATAGAATATAACAACAATATTTCTCTAAAATGATTGATTTCTTCATTATCTCTATATCTCTTGAGATATAACATTAACCTTTTTACATTAAATTATTCTCGAAAGTTTTCTTCGCCAAGAATTCTCCCAAGAATTTTAAAAAGTTCTCATAAATGATAGGAAAAAAAAAAGCATAAGCTAATTAAACTTAGTATCCTTATAAATATCTTGTTACAACTTCTTCTTCGTCAGATCGATTCGATTGTCTGCCTTCATAAAATCAATAACCCTCGAACAATCTGAATTCCTTTTAATGGATTAATTGTAAGCAACAGGCAATCATGTAAACTTTTGCTTTTTATAAGCGTTACACTCTTTTATCTCGTGCTTGTAGTTCAATCTTCCCCTCCCCTCTCGAAACAATAATTGCAAGAACTTTCTTTCTTGTAAGAAACGCGTTTGCTATAAGCCAAAGCTCTTGTAAACTTCACCGTGTACCGTGATATTGGAATTCTAAGCGCCAAGAAGCTCGTTGAGAACACTTTGTAAAAATCTGATATCCTGCTATTACTTTATCCTTAGTTTTAAAACTCAAATCGATTTGATCATGTTTTAGAGTAAATAATTCAAGTCGATTGTGTATTGGCAGTTAATCTTTATTTTTTTTTTTTTTTGTTGTACATCGTTGGATCTGTCGTTTCCTTTTCATCGTGGTGGGATTTTGATTAATTTTATTTTTGTAATTATATATTATTTATACTTTCTGCTTGAAAAATATTTTGTCTTCTTTAATATTCGTCTGTTTTAAAGATTTTTGGTATAATATAAGTTTCACAATTCTTTTCTTGAATATTTAAAAAAAAATAAATAAATCTGTTGATTTTTTTATTATTTAGCAGAGCTTGGAACTTATATATCCTAATTTCCAAGCTTCGATAAATAATATATGTCAAAAAATCAACAGTTTTCACTTAAAACTGTTATTTAAAAACGAAGCATGATGACTAATTTTCATAAAAAAAATTTTCATCCTCCAAATTCATTATAATTTACATCTTAAAAAAATTCTCATGGAAAACCATCACTAACGAATAACAGAACCTAAAATATTTTTCGTTAATAAAATTTGTTTCTTTTAAAAATATATACGTCGCACAAGATACAAAAATAAAATTATATTATATAAATCAGACACGAAATGGATCAATCATGATACACCAACCTCTCGAAGATGGGCCCTTAAAATAAAATCAAACACACACACAAAATAGATAGAAAAGAAATCACACCAGAGTCTATTTCATACGAATCAAAGAGATAAAGCAGAGACACGATACGAATGCATCGATAACGAAATGAGCCTTTGGAGGATCGTATCTGATAATACTGATAACTAACCTCTCCAAGATGGAGAGATTCTTGAAATAAAATTATCGAAACGAAACGCAAGAAGAATAGAAGAAGCTACATCGTACGAATCGAAAGGGATAAAGCAGAGAGACAGACGTGAATACGAATGGATCGATATGCCTTTGGAGGATTGCATCCTGTGTACCTGATAATACACTAACCTCCCGAAGATGGGCCCTGCGGGCCACCCAGCCATCCGGAGGACCAGCCAGTAGTTCCTCCAATATTCTGTTGCTGTTTCGCCAGCAATCTCACTGTCAACGCGTACGTAAGCAGCATCACGCCCAACGGTATGTAAAAGCAGATTATGCTGCCGATCAACTTGTACAGAGGATCCGGTATTTGACAGGCGCCGTCCACCAGCACCGAGTCGTCCTCCTGGAACACGGAATTATGCACTTAGTATGGAATTATGTATTCGTGCTTTGATCTTCCATTCGGGAAAAAATTGAATTTTGACGTTGGGGGATTGATATTATTTTATTTTTGGACGATAAAAACCGATGGAAGGGATTCTATTGTAATTTTTTTTTTTTTTAGGAAGAAACGAATAGATATTGGTTTAATTTCTAATTTTTTTCTAAGTATTTGGAACGTCCAAGTATTTGGAAATTTTTGCGAAAAAATTTTCTTCAACAGCAATTTTTTTTAATTAACGTTATGGAAAGATAGGAAATCGCAAGGAAGTATAAAATATGAAATATTAGTAAAAAAAAAAAAAAAGAAATTAACAAGACGTTTAACCTTTTTCTTTTGATTCGAATAAGAATAATAAAATCGTTTTGCGCTTAAAAATATTAAAATTATGTTCCTGCAGAAATATAAAATAAAAGATTAAAACAATCTGAAAAAATCTTAAAACTCCATAATTTTATATATTTCATAAATATATTATTATTATAAAACGTATTATTTCTTAAATACACACGATTTATATTTATAAATAATAAAATATTCCGAAGATGGTATAATTTTACAAAAATAAAATCGAAATAACGAGAGAAATCAAAAAATACAAAAATACGTATTTTATTAAAATTATTATTTAATTATATACTTAATTATATATAAATATTGTTAAAAATGAGATATTTTATCTTTTTCCAAATTATAGACGAGATATTCCACGATCGTATCGTTCGTGACACCACGGTCGACGTTTCATACAAGATTGAATGTCGAGGGCACGGCGAACGTCGACTCTCGTCTTAATAACAAAACGAGCTACGCCGTTCGTGACATCGTGCAAATTATATTCTATCGCGGATTATCTCGCTTAATACTTTATTTATCTACCTAAATACAATAATGAGAAGAAATGTATCGCCGTGTTGACTCATTTTTCGATTATTTAGTTACGGAATTGGTCAGTTTAATTTATCGTAGCTATATTTATTGGTAAAAAAAAAAAAAGTACGATGGACGACTACAACGTATGAGCATTGTAGCTATGTTATATATATATATATATATATATATATATATATATATTATATTATTATATTATATA